GCAAACAACTAAAGTTAATATGATAATTTTTATATATCGTATAACATATCATATATAAAAACATATCCTTAAACTAAACCCCAAAACTAAACCATGAACCTTGAATAATAATCACTGAATACTTAAAACCTGATTACGCACCTTACTTATCTATTTTACGATAAAAATGTTAACGTTAAAACGATGATTATAATCAAAAATTTATATGAAAATATTAAGGTATATCATTATACATATGTGCTTAAGAGAGAGCATATAGAAAATTATATATATATTAAGCAAGAACGTTGAGAAATAATTACTATTCGTGATATTTTATTTATATGAATTTATTACAATAATACCTATAATTATATCATCACATAGTAGAGTGAAATAAAATTTATAAATAATATTTAATTCATTTTTAAGAATTTACATAAATAATAATAATAAGTATTATTTTGATTATTCATTATTTATTAATTCATAATAATTGAGGAACATGTAAATTGAGTGAAATATATTTTAACATGAATGATTTATAATAAGTTAAACTCAATGAAATATATAATATTGTGTAAAGGTAAAATTAAACATTTTATATTTATATTCCTTAATATTCATTTTTTAAATGTAATTAGGCACATAAAAGTAAAAATTATAGAACTATATATTTAACATTTTATGTCTTATTCCATTTAATTTACTACAAGGATTAACTATTTTCTCCTATTAATATTATTCACATAATAATATTAAAATTGCATTATTTATTATTTAATATTTTATTGTAATTTTAGATCTATTAATTTATCATATATATTTTTCATTTTTATTAAAAAATATTGACCTTATTGAGAAATAACAATGATACCAGAGATTAAAATATGTTAAGAGATAATTAAAATATAATATGTATATTCTAAATAATTATAACCATTAATATATATATATATGATGTAAATAGATTATTTGTACTTATAGTTTTAAGGAGTAAAAAATTTAATAAAAAGTAATGAAAACCATATTTTATAAATTGATATATGTAAAACAGATTGAGAGACAATATGATGATGAGATTAATAACTTTTTTCTATTTTTTATAAATATTACAATTTATATTGCTAAGCACAATATGCTGCTATTTGTTAAAACGAATAATAAAGTGTTTACAATACAAACTATTAACAATTATTGAGCAATATAAGACTTTCATTTTTTATCTCATTTTAAATGCATTTTTCCCCAATATATCAATGACTTTAATAGGATTGTATATGAGATATAGTATAAATCTTATTTTCAAAACATTTTTAAGAATTCTTATTAAAATTGTATAGCATATATATTATGACTTATGTATAATGATTTTTAATTTTTCTTAGTCGTCTGTAGCATAGTAACTATTCAGGATATATGAATCAAATATCAGATTAAAATCTAATAAAAGGAATATTTAAATTTTTCTGATACATGCGGAAATGCAAAAAAAAAATTTTTTAAAATACTTTTTATGAGATAAACATTTGTTACCACAAATGATAAGAACAACTGAATTATATATTCAAAATATTAAGTGTCTTAACTATACGAATAGCATCTTCTTAATATAGATGCTCTTATATATTGAGGGAACTGAATAGGATGCATAAATATTTTGATAAATTATAAAAAAAAGTCCTCAGTATTGTTCTTCTATTGAATGTTTTATAAAATATGTGTAATTTTTATGTATAAGTCATGAATGATATAATGAAATTTGTGTTGATTATAAAAAAAAAATTTAAAGGTTAATATAATAAACTCATGAAACCTATAAAAATACGTAAAAGTGCTTCAAAATAGCTATATTCTTATTATAATATAGATGTGCACATGGTTCCGTTAACTTAATTTTTAATATATTTTGTAATACCAATACCCCTTTTTGTTCTGTAAAGCATTTATAATAGAATAAGTTAATGATTTATATGGCTTTTTGAAATTTATATTAAAATTTTTTTTGAATATTTAAATATAAAAAATAAATTATTAATGCAAATAATATATTTCTTTTTTATTATCAGTATACTCGATGTGGTTCCTATATATATCACTAATCAAGGGGATATAGTCACACTGCAACAATTTAAAATAAGGATAATTTCAAATTTATATTCCATTCTAAAAGTGTATATGGAGAATCAATATAATAAGAGACCTCAAGTATCATATAATTCAATAGACTATTACTAATAATGGTATAATGAAAAAATAATTTATAATCTTCCGTACTATGTGGTACAAAAATATAGGAGGATATCCTATTTTGCAGAATTCATAAAGAAAAAATAATAATATGATCAAAAATATTTTAAGCTAGAGATAATAATACAAAACAATGGAAATAACATTTTCATGTTTTAACGTATAAAATGAATAAAGAAGTATATAATATTTCTAAAATATATTGTATAATTATAGAGATGAGTAAAGAATACAAACATTGATAATTTATATATATACGTTCGTACTTATTAAGCGTTGTATTTAAATATATGAAACAGATACATTCATGTCTTCTACATTATTGATATTTATAAAATTTTACTTATAAAAATTAATATTATATGCCATATTTAACAAATGCATGGAATTTAATTTATGTATAATACAAAAAAAAAATTTATATATATTATGATAATTTATTTTTGAAAAATAACATAATATAACACATGAAAACATAAATTAAAAATGTTTTATAATTATGCTGTAATATACCCATTTTATATGACGAATATCATTATGTCTAAAAAATCATGAATATTCTAATTTAGCTGTAATATGCTGTAAATACGAATATTTAAATATTGCATGAGTAAATAAGACATAATTATTCATTATTAAATTTATTAACTCAGAATCTTATATATAGAGAACTTTAATTGACTTTATTGGAAAATATATATTTGCATTTTGAACATAATGTATACACCACATTTATCATATGAAAAAAGTATGTAAATTAAATCATAGTTTATATATAATGACGTTATCATATTAACTAAAAAAAAAAGTGTTATTTAATACATATTTTATAATATATTATTTATATAACTATTAAAAAATACTTTTTAATGATAATATTTATAGAATATTGTTATTTATACATTTAAAAGTATATTGAAGAGGATTTTGCGAATGATACTATTGTTACCTTTAAATTTAGTTATATATATTTAACGTTTTAATTTATTATCATACAATAATAATGTGTTATTATCTTAAAAAATTACAATATATATATTATTATTACACTAAAACATAGTTTTAATAAAAATATTCCCATCATTCATCAATATTAGAAAATAATATATAAGATATAAGACTTATATAAGTGAACTCTTAAAAATATAGTGTATAATATATATGTACTTTTTACGTTGAAAAATTATAAATTATATTTTTTATATTAATATTTTTACTCTGTTATTAAATATTTTAGAAAGTATAAAGTCATACATGCTTGTGGGAATATAATATAAAAAAATATAAGTACTAAAGATAAAGAACATAAGTGTAATGAATACATATAAAATATAATATAATTTTTATTATTTTAAATTATGATATTTAATATATTTTTTTATTTTTTATTTCATGGATATATATATATATATATATTTTTATTTAATTAATATTGAATTTAATATTTTTTTAAACAACAATGTGTAATCATTTAAATATTTTTCCATATTTATTACCCATAGTGAACTAGAACACATAATTATATGTACTATATTAAATTATTTAATTCCAATATCATAAAATATATAAAATTATTTGTATATTTTTACAGTTTACCTATACAGAAGTCATTTATTCAAAATGTAACTCGGCATCTGGTTACGATTTTCATAAATTAATAATTTTTTTATGTGAAATATTTAACTAGTAACAATTGAGTAAAAATCTATCAGTATGATATGTTAAAAAAAATTCATAATATTAAAAAAAATTTATGGTTATTATAAGTATAATTATATCTCCCCCAATGGGCATAATATATTTTAAACAAGTATTTTTATTTATGAAATATAATATGTTATGTATTATTACAATTTAAATTTGAAATCATTCACTTATAATTTTGAGAAGAGATAATTTCTTATTAGCTCAAATATAAATGATGAATATATTTTTTTTGTTGTAATTTTTATATTTTCTGAGATAATTTTTTATTATATTATTATATATTTAAGTTATTGAAATAATAGTTAATAAAATATTTTAAATTAGACAATAGAATGCGAGCGGTCTACACAAAATAATGACATATATTATATTGCATATATGAATGAGCGGAAATAAAAGATATCTATTCCCCTAAAATAAAGGCATATTATACAATCAAAACATTTAAAATGTGTTAAATAAATATAAATGTATATGTATACATTTATATATAATTCTCATATATCTGGTAATACATTTAATTATTTGTTTAAATTTTTTTATGTAAAAAGCATGAAATTACTAATTTCAAATATTAAATCTATTTATTAATATTTTTAGTAAACTTCATGCTAAATTATTTATATTATTTTAAGGAACACTAAGAGAATGAATATAGATATATGTATATTTTAGATAATAACTCATTTATGTATTATATATATATATTTTTACATTTTATATGAATATGAATTTATAATTCTCCTATGGAATTATATTTCTTTAAACCATAGTTTATCTCAAATTGAGATTTATTTTTTCTAAATACTATATTTATATTTTTAGTTCTCTCATTAATTTTTTTATAAAGCTATATTGTAATCTCAAAAAATTATTAAATTTTTCTAACTGTTATGAATCTTGATATTCAATTTAATGATATATATTCATTAAACCTATAATTTTGTAATATGAAACAAGATAATATTTCACATAATATTTATTTATTTTTAAGAATCAATATTTACTTGCTCATATATTTTTCATTTTTTATTCTTCATTAGAAGAGCATTATATTAATTAGGATGGAAGGAAACATTGTAACTTTTAATTATAATAATGTTGATTATAGTATAATACATAATCATTCATTACTGCATATATGCTTAAAAATATTTTTCTGCAATATATAATTTCTGTTATACAATTATATTCTCCTCACATTTAGTTTGAAACATTAGATGCATATTTTTCTGTGTATAAAGATTATATGGATGAATTTAAAGATACAAGTAAAATATATGATAATGAATGCAAGTTTATGCAGATAGAATGCAAAGAAGATGACCATCATATAAAATATATAAAAGATAAATGTCTTAAATGGTTTCCATATTTATTTCAAATACATTATAAAAGTGAACAGGAAAAAATAAAAGGATTACAGTATATGTATTATTGGATATATAGGAATTACACAAATCAAGGAATAATAAAAGAAAACATCATAACTCTTTATAAGTGTTTAATCAAAAGATATAATGACACTAGTTTTGCCCAGGTAACTGGAAAACCACCTTTACCGGATTCTATAAAGGGACAACAATGGGAAATACTCATCGATATATGTAACTTAAATACAGCACTTAATGAAATAAAAAATATTTCATTTGAATCATCTGAGAAGCAAGGAAGTTGCTATTATTTAAAAGAGCATGTTGATAAATGTATTGAGAACGCTGCTAAATGTAAATCTAATGCTTCGCCAAATGTCTGTAAGATATTTGAAAATATTAAAAGTGAGATTAATCAAAGAATGTCAGAAAAAGGTTGTTATAATATTAATAACAAAATATTTCCTTTACTCAATTCTCAAAATCAATCGTTCGATTCATCCAGAACTAATAATTCAGGTATTATTATAATTTCAACAGTTTTAACATTATTAACTCCTATGCTGGTATTTATTCTGTATAAGGTTAATTATGATGTCATTATATATATTTATATAGTAAAATGGTTGTTTTTAGTCATATAAAAACAAAAGCATTCTATTAATATATTATATTCTTAATAC